GCTTAATCCACAACCAAAGCTTTTATGTGAAGAGATTTCTATAGGGTATGGCATCAGTGGCATTGAAGCATTGACTCAGGCAGCACAATCTACCAGTTCCAGTGACTTAATGATATGATATGATATGATATGATATGATATGAGCTCATAAGAAGAGTAATGTGGAGTTCTCATCCTTCCTGTTTACTGGCCAACATGGTTTCAGACTCCAGGGACATTGAAAATTGTGGGTTTGCAGCCTGGTTTAGCAGGGAATTTACCCTTTTCTGAATCAACTCCCATTCCTGAAGTTGCTTGATAATCTCTGCATAAAAGAGAAACTCAGGAAATGTGATCCTTGTGTGAGGCAAATAGCAATGGCTGGTTTGGTACAAACCAATTCCCAATGAATTTTTCAAGCAAGCTAAGAAATTCACTCTTACATGGATGATATTCCATCATAAAGTGCAAAGTCACAGCCTGTTCCAGTCAATGGTTTCAGACAGGCTCCCTGTCTGGAAATGTTAGAAAGATAATGGTCAAGGACCTTGTCTCTGGTTGCTGCACGGTCTCTGACAGTCAAAACCACACTTTCGTTAAACATTCTTTTTCAGGATGAACACTAAAACCTTTATCCCCACATGCTGGGGGCTGGTATGGCTCCTGCTGGCTGTTTCTCAGGGGCTGACTTGGAGAAATGGGATGAAGGCATACCAAGTAGATAAAGATACTGACCTGTGACATTGCCATCACTCAGAGGATAAAAGGCACGGGAGAGAAGGGTGATTGAAATGGCTTCTTTATTCTGTAGACAAAAAATACCATTTCATTCTCTCATTGCCTGTGCAGGATGTGCTGGGCAAAAGGATCAACTGTGTTGAAACTCCTGGTTATGGAATAAAATTTGTCCTCTTCAGTGCACTGATGCTAGGTGTAATTTCATGAGCCAGAGCAAGAGATGGATGAGGTGCTGGAAAACAATCCAGACTCAGATGTCCTGTTGGTTATGGTCTTATTTGGAGGGAAGAAAGCCTATTCAACAGCAGCTGGTGCACTTCTTCATTCAGGAAGGTGCTTTCCAGTTGATTAAGGGCAGAATAATGATCCTGCAGAATTTTGTTTGGTTGATATATTCGTGTACTTACTGCAGCCAGCAAACCGTATGTCGCCTAATGGTCCGGGTTGAGTGTAGGAAGTCTTTTCTCTGCAAGCCAGTCCTTTTAGGCACATCCACAATACCCATCACTCACAGATTATCAAGGTTTTAATCCACTTCACTATCAAAGTGCCAACAGCTGGATTGCCAACATGAAGCCTGTGGGTCATGGATCTGCCAGGTATCTGAGGCAGTTGTGCCAATAATGGCTGGGGGTGTAGACCTCTCCACAGGCTGACACATCCTGCTGGGGAATGGCCCTTGACATGCTCCAGCCCTTCAGCTGGGTGGCTTTGGCAGCTGCCACAGCCCAAGCAGGGCTGGCAGGTCCCTCTCAGCACAGCACAGCACCTCTCAGACTCGTATCACCATGGCACCCAGCTGCAAGCGGACAATGGAAGCTCCCCAGGGATGCTTCCCTTTTTGAATGGGAATTTACAAACTGATAGAAAGCAGATAAAATAGAGAGGATGGGCTAAACATTGGAAGGACAAAAAGCAATGCTTTGCAAAATCGTGTGTCTTCACATGTATGTCTAGAAAATGTCCTGATCCCCACCTGATGCTGGTTTTGGTCAGGAACCAAAGAATAGTCATCCTGCCTCTCCTTCCCCAGGTTATTATTGTTGGCTCTCTTTTGGGACAAATAAAATTTTGGTGTCCAGTTAAAGATAGTCCTTAAACCCTTTGTTTTCTTCACCAAGCACAAGTGTGTGTTGAATATGCAATGGAGAAAATCTACAAAAATTCTGTCTGAGATCCATTTATGAGCCTATCATTGCCTTAAGGGACCTGCTTTGACCAGAGGGGCTCGGTGCCAGAACGAGACCACAGAGTTCATTAAAATGTCAGGAAATAGCAGCGTATATTCCCCACATTCTGTTACTTACTTTTCATTTGTACTTTTCAAAAATTAAATGTTTTTCCCTCATATGAATCTGTCAGGGAAAAAAAGAAGAGGATTGAATCAGAGATCAAAGAAAAATATAAAAAAATTAGAGCTCAGATGCAAATGCATCTGATAAACTTGGATATGCCTGATGAGGGGCTCCGAGGCCCAAATCCAAGGTTAGAGAGGGAATAGGGTGGGAAGAGACATAGGCTGTCCTCAAGGGCATAATCTATAAGCAGAGCCAGTTTTAAGAGGCCACTTTGCACAGTGTTGGTGCTGGGTTGGAAGATCCAACACCTTGTCCCAGTGAGCTTGGTCTCTGAGCTATGCAGCCCCTTACCAGAAGGCATTTCTCCACATCTTATTTCCAATGTCTTCAGAAAAAAAATGGTTTCATGACAAATATTATTCCTATGTCCTTGGGAAAAAGTTGTGGTTTCATGACCAGGATTTCCTTTTCTTTTTCCAGTGCAAGATTAGATTTTGGCCAATGAAGCTGCCTGATGAGTTTTGGAGCACTGGTGGTGTGTCTTCTGTGGCTGTCAGTGGTGTGGTTCTGCACTCTGACTTTGACAGACTATAACAACCTCCATGTCCTGATCGTTCTCTCACCTGTAAAAACCCTAATAATTCAGAGCTGTCTAAAACTTAAAGCTATCAAGGAGAGAAAAAAATTCTCTATCTTCTGCCAGTCCCAAGGCTTGAGATGATCCAAGGTGTAATTAATATTCCTTCGATCTCGCTGCTGCCATATATCAGATTTCCCTAAAACGACTGTAATCAAAGCACTTATCACTGAACATTACACTTAACAAGCAATTTCCGTATTTGCATGTAGCACTGGTTACCACTCAGCAGTAGTTTACAGCTCTGTAATCATCACAAGGAATTTTCTCCATATGCCCCTGAAAATATCCAAGCTGGTGTTCCTGAACTGGACTGTTTAATTTATTCAGGGTTACCCTCATAAAAGGCTTTCAGAAACACTATGAGTTATTGGTTGTATTCTACCTCTACATTTTCTTTGTCTTTTGAAGCTGAAATTACTGCATGTATATGTGTGTATACATGTATTTTCTTCATATGTGTGAATATATGTGTATTTTATGTACACATAATTGAACTGTAAGATTATACTAAATATTCAAGACAAATCCACTTTGTTATAGATGTGCATGGAGTTCAGCAAAAGAATGGGCTATGTTCAGGTTAGAATATCTGGGATTACAATAAGGTGAAGAAGAGTGGTGACAAATGGCTCAAGCACAGTTATCCTCATTTGAGTCAATTTCCTGGGATTTTCCTGGGCATTTTGCTTGATTTGGAATAACAGAATCTGCCTGAGAGAAATTTTTTTCCTTTCTGGAGTCTGTGAGAACATCTCCAGTTGAGTGCACAAAGTCAAAAGCACCTTCTGCACACCTATTTTCCATATTTGATAGGGAATGCCTCTGCCAATGCAACAGGAGGAGCTTTCCCTGCTCCTTCCAAGGAGGCAGAAGGGACCAGAGGTCAGGCTCCAGCACCTTTTCTCGCAGTCATCTAGGCTTGTGGTCCCAGAATGGTTACAGGATAACCTTCTAGATGACTTTCTCCCCTGGGACTGGAGCTATAGTTGCTATAAAACCCATTGTAACCCATCTGCAGAGAGGCAGCTGCCACTGTGACCCCACTCTGCAGAGCACCTGCACTTCCTGGCAATCCTGCTGGCAAACCTGCAAGCTCTGGCTGTTCAGAACATTGTTTCCTGCCTCATTTCTCTGTTGTATCTCTCTTCTGAAAGCCACCCCTGATTTACAGCAGCATAACTTGGACAGGGTAAATTAGATCAAAATCAGGCTCTGAGGTGTGCACCAGTTATTCACTTCCATAGACAATTACAATTTATCACCAGAAATCTTTAGATTCAAATGATTTGGAGAGTTACCTAGAAATGAACAGACCTTGGTACTACAGCCCACTGAAGGGGTTGTGCTGTGGGAAAAGAGAGGAGGACTTTCTTAGGTGGTTCCTGTTAAGCTTCCTGAGCTATAAATGCTTCTGTCATGCACATCTGTGCAACAGCTGGCAGAGATAACTGCCTGGACCTGATTACAGCTGTCCAGTGCCATACATTCTAGCATCTGCACGGGGATAGCCTCTGCAACAGCTGAGGATCCATCTATTTCTGTTTAATCTACACATAAAGGATGTTGTATGAACAAAATTGCGTCGTTTGACTTTCTTGAGAGAGCCCAAGGCCTCTAGACATTGCAGGTGCCTTAGCAAAAACCCGGGGGTGGAGGAAAGCACACTCATCCTGAGAGAGTCAGTGGGGAGATGGGAACCTGATGAGAAACATGATGAGAAACAAAATAAAATGCAAATCATCGTTAACGTTTCATGTTACGTTGTTTGACATCCGTTCTGGCACTGACCCCTTTGTCTGAGAAAAAAAGAACATCAGACAAGCTCAGGAGACTGAGAGAAGAACAGGTTTTTTTAATTATCACAATGAGCAAAAATTGCATTTAATTCTCTGAACTGATGTCTTGCTCAAATCAGTTTTGACTTGGAAACATGGAAGATCATCAAGAGGACCAAATTAGTTATTCCACTGGCATGTCTGAGGTAGTATGAAACCACGCTGTTGTTTTTTCCTCTTTGCTGCAGCTTGGATTTTAGAGCTTCAATGGATCAGAATGAAGCATGGAAACTGCTACTCCTTACTTGAGGGCTCATTTAATTATTATAAGAACTCATGAAAGGTAAGTTAGACAAACCAAGTTTATATTGTATAACTTCTAACCTAGAGAAACGTTGCAGGAGTACAATTAAAATGAATGTAGGGCTAGGCTTTCATGTAGGACCTTAGACACAGATCTATAACTACGCCTACCAGCAATAAGCAATTTTGCTCTGTTAATTTTGAAAGACCACATCTAATTAATTAAGATGATGAATTTACTTAATGTTTAAGAAAAAACAAAAAGTCAGTCAAATAATGTTAGAACTAATTTTTAGTAGTATTTACTGTTCCTGTGCTCACAGGTTTGAGACACCAATAGGGAAATCCATCCAAATTGATCACCATAAAAGCACTTCACGTTGCCAAGGATCCACACAAGAAGGCAGTAGTGTTGCCCCAAACCCTCCTGTCCTGAAAACTAAATTATTAATTACAAAAATGCAATAATTTGCCCTCTGCAGAGGCAGGACCTCAGCAAGAGGTGATCTCTGTGAGCCATCATTCAGAGGCTGTGTTCTGTTCCTGAAAGCCACTGATGAGACGACGAGGTGGCCACGGTCACTCCAGACAAGGACCCTTCTGGCCCATCATTCTGTGCCCAGCCATGGCCAGAGGTGGACAGCGAGGTGGGGGCAGGAGCAGCACAAGTGTAACATTATCCTTCTGTCCCTAATATTCTCCCAACATCTCCATATGTTCAGCTCTGGGGCTTCCAGAGCCTGCTGAACTTCGTCATTCAGTAATCAAAGGGCCTCTCCTCCAGGCACTTTGCCATCTTCCCTTTGAACTCATGAAACACCATCCAAACACCACCCTTTGGAAAAGACTTCCTGAGGTCCTAAACTCCACCACTGCTTCCATGGAGCACCACCTCCTTTTGTCCTGATCCTGGTTTACTTGTTTACCTCCCTATAATTTGGTAGCAGGAGAGGTCACCCCGTTCCCTGTGTGAAATTCCAACATCTCTCTTGGTAAAGACCATCTCTGTGTGGCAAAGGCTGGCCAGCTCCCCAAGCACACTGAGAATAAAGTACTCTGGCCCAGAACAAACTTCTGCCCCTTAACAGAGGGGAGTTAGGAGGGATGGATGAATTGCCCAAGAGATGGAGGCAGGTGCCCATGCCAGGGAGCAGCTTGGTGGCGGCTGAGGTGACCTAGTGCTGGGTCCATGACCAGATGGGGACATCCAGCAGGCACATGAGGAGCAGCCAAGTGCGGGAATGGGTGCATGGGGATCCCAGAAGCCAGGCAACGGGTGCACTCAGGGCCCTGGCAGCCAACAGCAAAGGCCAGACACTCTGCTTTAGGGGTTTTTGGCTTGTTTTCCACCTTCCAAAGGAAAGAGGCTGTGACAGGAAAGTAGGAATTAATCTCCTGGCTCAATCTCAAAGTCCAGTCTATTCAGCAGTTCTGATGCAGACTAGTGTTGGATGCTTCCCAGGGTATAGAAAAACCTGTGTTTTTCATCCCAACACCAGGAGTTAAACACTGGCTTCCAGGAGGCCATTCAAGAGTTTTTTCCACTTTATTCTCATTTGGTTTAGCAACAACAATAGTAACGCTGGGTATTCCTGATTGCACCCGCTCCCTTTGAGAACACGAGGCAATAGGGAAGCGGAACTGGAAACGATTCCTGTGGCTAAAATCTGCAGAACAGAGGTGAACTGTTGGCTGAGCCAGCACGGGCTCATACAGATATCTGAGAATGTTCTGGGCAGGAAAACTCTTCATCTGGGAAACAGGAAGACCCCCTAAAAGGCATTAGCAAACATTTTTTAACTTCCTGATCACATAGTTGTGTTTACACCACCCGCGTTATTTATTGGCCATGTGTTTGACAAGCACTTACCATGAGGAATACTAATTCAAGGTGGCAGTAAATTTCAGGAAGACAAGCAATTTTCAATCAACACCTTTTCAATTAATACTATTTCCAGCCTTACCTAAACTCGGGGACCTGCTTATATGGAGATTTGTATGGTAAATAATTTACGTTCTCCATACATTTGTTTCAAATATGTGAAAGAAATACTTTTGTTTAATTTTCTACTAAATCCAAATTATATTTTCATAAGCTAATGAATAGTATTCCACCTTTATATACTTGCTGGTTTTCTGATTTCTGTGTCAGAATGTCTTTATTTGAGGTCTGAAGGGAATTATATCACTTGCTTGGACCCAGCAGGCAGTTGCCAAAGGAATGTATAGTGAGAATAAAGACAATTAGGTATTTAGATGGCCTCTCCTGTTCTCCCAGGAACACTATTATATCCATACCAAACATTTCTGACTCTCAAGTCAGTTGTAGCTGCATTCACTGTTTTTCACAGTTTCCTGAAAGTGAACAACACAGCAGCTGGGGCTGGCTCTAGTTTGGGGGAGCAGGAGATTATTTTGTCAGTCAAACAGCCAGAGTCACAGAGATTTTGAAAGTGTGGATCAAATCCCTGTCCACAGCACATCATCACCTCAAACTGAGATCAACACATGGAATAGATTGATGAGGGCACAGCAAAATCAATCCCCTGTATGCTATAAAAACCTATCGGCACATGCGGGGACACGTGTGATGTGGTATTTACAAAATTGTGGTTATGCATGACAGTAGATTCCTCTGTTTATGTAATCATCGTATTGGCATTCACTACAACCTGCTTGCAGAAAAATATTTTGAATTTTCAAAGCATAGCTAAGCTGGCAGGTGCTGTGTGAGTCAATATCGAACTGCAAAATTGCATGTGAATGATGTCGTATCATACGTGAATATCGGTGCTATACAGGGACATGAAAGAAACCTTCATAAGATTTAAGTTAAGTATGCTTTAATTAAAAATAATTATGGCAATGATCTCAAACTGGATGCAATCACAGCTGATCACTTTGTTTAAAAAACGTGGCAAAAGTTCAAAGCGCAGCCCTGAGTTTTAACTGCTGGAGATGTCTTTTTGCTTGTTTTTGCAATCAAATTTTCAGATTCTCAGGAAGTCCCTAAAGCTTTGTTGTTGCTGATTATGTAAAAATATGAATTTATTTATTTATTACCCCCTATAATAAAAAAGCAAAGTGTTTGCTAAGGAGAGGGTGGTGAGCTGTAAAGGATTACACGTACCCAGGTTTTTGCCGGCTGATACAATGCATCCTGGCCATGCAGAAGGACACCAGGTCAGTGCCTCACACTCTGCCAAACTGAGCCACCCAAGAAGAAACCCAGCAGCCACCAGGGTGGTTAATCAACAGCACTGTCTTTGGTGCTCCAGCTCTGTGCCCTCAGCTCTTCCCTTGGGCTTTCACCATCCCTTTCAGAACATACAGGAAGCAGGTTCCTGGGAGAAAACAACAGCGCTCAGGCTCGGTATGAGTGAGCCAGGCTGCAGGTCACCCGGGGAAAAAGGGAAATTTCTTCTGCTGATGGAACTGGTTCAGCTCCACTGAGCTCATTAGGAGGATTTGTGTTTGCATCAGCTGCACATCTGTCTCCCAGCTTCCTTTGCTTACTCCTTCCATGGATGAAGGGGTCTGAAAAAGAGCCCCGGAATGTCACTCTAAGAGACTGTTTTGATGCAGGGACAGGCAGGGCAGTCACTTGTGTGTGTGGCAAACCAGGCGTAGCATCAACACTATCGATGTGCATTGGGCCTGCTTTCAGCACCCCTGAGCCACCACAGCCTCGCCAGCCCCACTGAGAGCGTGGTGGGAAACAACAGGCTGGCAGCTCACCAGGAGAAACAAGGCTGACCTTGCTGTGCCTCATCTGAGTCCCTCTCTTCTGGGGATGTCACATGTACAAATCCAAGATGCTGAACTTGATGGCAAGTAGGAACTTTGCAGCTGGACTCTGCAGAAATGCAATTAATTCATCAGTGTAAATTAGCTTCATTTTTATTTATCCACGAAACATCAGGTTGATGCAAGTCCCATGATTCTGCTACTTAGAGCTGCTTTCTGATTACCTTGGTGGGCACATCCTCTGTTTTTTCTGAGTTTCCCCTTCTTTCTTTTTCCCTTTTCCCATGTCTTGCTCAATGTGGTGCTGGCTGCCAGCGTTTGGTGAGCTACAAAGAAACAAAAGTTTAACATTTCCCATGAGACTTAAACCAAAACACAGCAAAAAGTTGTTTAGCAACTTTATGAAGAGCAAGGGAAGCCAGCAGGGCTCCTGAAACACCTCTATAGCAGTGTTTCATTAAGTTTTATAACTAAACAGGGCTTAATGCTTCATTGAATGTGAAATAATGTTGCAGACTCAGGGCAGTGATATTTTCCTCTCAGCTGTGTGACCATACAAGCACTCCCCACAGCCACCTCCGGGCTGCTCAGGTGAAGGCTTCCAGCCATGGCCAAAGCCACGCTTTGAAACCAAAAATGGAACCACAAGCATAAGAAAAATGTTCTTCCTCTCATGAAGCAACAGTGGCAAAATAAGCCACCAGCACATACAGAAACAACAGCAGCAGTAGAGTCTTTTTTCTGTATTAATCACATTGATTGGGGGATATTTATCACTCCAGGAAGAAGTTCTACCATTACAGGTGCTGTCTCTACTGTAATCTTTGCTGACAAAATCCTACCAGCAAAAACATCCCTACAGCAGACTTCAGTCACTTCTGGGTCTGCATCTTAAGATGTGGATGCAAATATTCTGTTTGAATTAACTGAAAAAACATGGTCTTTCTACTCCTAGCAGTATTAAACAGCTCCCCACACATCCTCTTATTCATATTAATTTATTCACAGCTTTAAATATGTTTTCCCAGCTGCTGAGGCAAATCTTATTCACACTTATGACAATACAGATTTTAAATCTGTATCAATCTGATAATATTCAGACATACATCTTGAAAGAACAATTTGAGCCATGACAACAGAAGCAAGTACATTTGTTTATCACCACTGGGGTTATTTGTAACACTGTGGTTGCTTGAAAAAGACAAGATCCTCTTAAGTAAAGTATTTGGCACTCACTAAGATGTATGTATATGTAGATAGCACATTTTCAACAACTACAGCCATGTATTCTCAATAATGACTGTAACCATGAAACTGTTTTTCAGGTTATTACTGATGGGATGATTGGTTTGAATATTGCAAAGTATGGGACATGAGAAAGTGTGGCTGTTACATTTTGAAAAAGCTTTCCATTCTGTTTCCATAACACAGGAGAAGTCATAATTAAGGTAATTTGTAAAGATGATATTACATTAGTGGTGCCACACAAATCAAACAAAGCAAACAATTATTTGAAAGTGTTCTCAATATCCATTACACATTTTGTGCAATTAAAGTGATACTTCTGTAGCTGCCAGTTAAAAACACCCTTAAAATCTTCCTGTAGTGGTGTTCTGTAATATAACCAGAGGAACGAGCTGGATCTGATGTAGTGTGAGAATGGTGAGCAAGCAGAATTGAACAATATTTTTTTTATTTTTTTTTTTAATAAACGGCCATTGAAGGAAACAAGATCAGAATAAGAGTAACACAACACTTAATTCAGCACTGAGATTTATAACAATATTAATGGCAAGGTGAAGACTTTAAGCAGAAGAGCCAACTTCACCCATGCAACCAACCACCTCCAGAGGTGCCATGAAGACACTGAGCTACTTCACGGAAGGAACAAAGTCTGCTGCCTTTATTTTTCAAGAGTCACGTTTTGGAGACTCTTTTGTCAAGAGACACATTTGGAGGGATCTGTATTTTTGGAAGACAAGGCAAGACCTTCAGCTAGCACAAAAAAAGGCAGAGTTGCCAGCTTCCATCCATTCATCTTGGATGTTTTATGTCCAGCCCACTCAGCCTCAGGTGACACCCTGTTTCCTTTTCTGGTTTTGAGGCTACTTTGACACAGGATTTTTCCTTCCAATAGTAATTAGCTCCCCTTAATACTGAAGCTGGAGCTCACAAGCTTCCCCAGCAGATGCTGGCTGCAGATTGTATTGCAGATCCCAGCCAGTGAGGAGTGGCAAGCGTTCAGCACAGATGGCACTACCAGGCAGCCTTGCTGATGTTTTCTTTTTTTTCAAAAACCCTCAAATGACAAGGTGAGGGCTAACCAAAACCCAGCTCTGTTGTAGTGATGGGCTGGAAGAATGAGTCACTTCAACCTGTCAGCAGTGGGGAGCAAGGCTGGGGCACGGGCCACATCCTTGTCCTGCATCCAGATGAGTCTTTGGAGAGTTGTCCCAGGCCATGTGCAAACAACACAACTTCTTCACAAGGGGAAGCAGAGGAGCACACACTGGTCTCTTCTCTCTGGTGTTCAGTGACAGGACCCAAGGGAATGGCCTGAAACTGTGTCAGGGGAGGTTTAGGTTAGGATAGGAGGCATATCAGGAAAAGGTTCTTCACCCAGAGGGTGGCTGGGCACTGGAACAGGCTCCCCAGGGCAGTGTCACAGCACCAAGCTTGTCAGAGTTCAAGAAACATTTGAACACACTCAGGCACATGGAGTGACTCTTGGGGCTGTCCTGTGCAGGGCCAGAGTTGGACTCAATGGTCCTTGTGGGTCCCTTCCAACTCAGGACATTCCATAATTCTATGATGATACTGTCTACACAACCTGAATTTCCAGTGGCTGCAGGGATGGAGCTGACATGGGAGCTCCACCTGGATACCCCTCTCCTACTGCAACCAGCATAGATAAAATGCACAGCAGCCAAGGGGAGGAAAAGTAATTTAAATTTTAGTAATCTGTGAGGCACCCAATGTACTAGGAAGAGAAAGAAAGAATGCTTTAATTGTTGCGAAAAGTGATGGCAGAGGGTGCTTCAGGGTCTTTTTTTTCAGCACCCACTTACCTAGAGAGGTAAGGCATAGACACAGGACTGGGATGCAGATGGACAATTCCTGCACTTTACAACCCACAACACTAAAATTACTGTTGCATTTTTCCCACTAAATGAAACAAAGTTTGTAAGAAGAAATTACATCTTTGACCAAAGCAACTAACTGCCCACACAGGAAGAAAATTACCCATCACTTTGGGTGCACAAGCCCCTTTCCTAGGCATGAAAAAGGCTTTAGAATAAGACACTTGAAGCACCATACAGCTGCCTTTGGCAACAGGTCATGACCCGCCTGAAGTTTCTGCACAAGGGATTTGCCTGTCTTCCCCTTACCATCGTTCCAGCTCACAAAACCAGTACTCAAGTGCCTGATTCTTAATAACTCACCACTCCCAGAGGCAATCCAACTACATGTTCTCAATTACTGCTGCAAAGGGAAAAGGGACCTCCATGGTTTTGGGGATTCAGGAAAAGACAGCTCTGCTGCAGCTTCTCAGTTAGCTGCCCTAAAAGGAGAAACAGGGTGTGCTAATAATATAACCAAACTTGAATGCCAGACCTGGGAATTTTCCATGCAGATACCCTGGTTTGAGCCTCAAGAGACAGCCACTGGCCCGCTGAGCACAGGCAGTACGTGCTGGGAAAGGACACCAGAGGCATCACCAGTGCTCTGTGTTTTACTCACACAGAGAAATGTTATTATGGATTGGTTTCTAAAATGTCTAAAAATGCGCCGTGCCTCAGTACTGAGACACCCCAATTTTAAATTATATTCTGCTTGTACCAATATTTCAGAAGCTGAGCACCTCATGCATAAACTGTAATGTGCATATTCACAACAATCTGATTAAAACCACATTGCTGATAGAAACCCTTTATCCATTCCTTTGAACTTGTAAGGCTGCAGGAATGTTTTATCAGTGCAAGAGGAGCACGGCTGGACAGGCAGAGGATGATGTGGCCTCTGTGATCTTTCTTTGGTCACTGTTTATCTGTGTGATGGTGGATGTTGATAAGCTGGTCAAAGATAACCTCAGCTGGGAGATTTTCATGGAAAATATTTGAACATCTGAATGTTTTACCTGCCTCCCTGGCATCTATACTGAACAAGGCAGTTTGTGCACTGAGTCAATCCTGTGCTTTTAACCAAGCACCCAGCACCAACAGGGTTTCATGGGTGAGGGGGTTAGGGTCATGTACTCAATGCCTGAAAGTGGGCAAGGAGGGAATGTCCAGTCCAACAGAAGCTTTCTTCTAAATCCTGACTAATGGCAGTTTTCTCACATTTAGTTTGCAGCTCATCTGAGGTAATTGGGGATATTCTCATTGCTCCCACAAGCAATCTAACATCTGCTCAGCTCCTGCATGTACCAAGTCCTGTCACAGAGAGTGCTGTGGCCCTTGGTGCAGAAGTCCCTCCTTCTCTGCCTTCACTGCTTCCCCACAAAGGGAGGCAGAGAGTGCTTTTGGTCCAGGATCTGTGAAAACACAGGTATTTTGTGCTGCAGTCCCTGAAGCTCTCAACATCTTCCATCAGCTCAGGGCTGTGGCAGGAGCAGACACTACAGGGTCACGCCGAGGGACACGAAGGAGCGAAGGAACTCGACCTGGCTCTTACATCTGCAATGCAAATGCTCCTTGCTTGATGTGTAATGGAAAGTGGAGCCTGTTTCTCTTGCGGTTGCTGTGACCAGCATGAGCAAAATAGGAGATAGAGCACAGAGCAAAGTATGAGGAAGGTGATATGAGATACAGATAATCACACCTCGCATGTGATGAAAGCAGACTGTGCCAGTCCACGCTGCCTGCAAGGACGGGGCTGCCGAGACATCTAGGAAAACATTATCTACTCCATGGCAATAAGCAATGTTTTGTCCCACTTTATTTTTAGCTCGGTTCCTCCTCTTCCTCCACACATATGAGCCCTCCAGCTGAAGGCAAAGGTCCAAGAACAATAGCATTTCAAGCCAAAGACTAACCTCACAATCAGAAAACCAGAGCCTAGATATGACAGGCTGCCTTATTTACTAACACAGAGCACACAAACCCAAACCAAACCAAAATAACCTACTTCGATATTTTTGCTTCATAGAGCAAAGAAAGCGAGTCTCCCTTGCACTCAGCTCTGATGTGCTGCCATGAGGAATACCCTGAGAAGTCAGATGAGATTTATTTAGAACACTGAAACCCTTGTGTGTATGTTCTTGCCATAAATTCGAACCTCAAATGGTAATGTGATTTGAATTTAAACACTTAAAGCTGTGGCCTTAACAGTAGGCACTTTTGTATATTCATGCTCCTGCCACTGTCCTCAGTCTCCTGTGGTCTTGAATGATGTGTTGTTTTTAGACAATTGGCTTCTTGTCTGCAGAAGAGCAGTTTGGCCCTATCCCTTCCATTGTCTTTTATGTCCTGCAAGGAAAAGCGGGGAGGAGACAGAAAGAGAGAGACAGATTTCAATCAAAAGCTCTACATTGATAAGGGATTAATAAAAGCCTGCCTTGTGATCAGATGAAACCTAACAGTCAGTCTGGATACCTTATATTTGATAACAAAATCATCACTTCCGAGTATCGCCTGTAGAGTCGAGTACCTGCGTCACCTGGAGCAGCAGCAGCTCCCAGCAGTGCCTGTTGCTGGTGGGGTTGTGCTCTGCAGACCCTGCTGTGGCCAGCTCATCTTAAGGACAAGATTTTGTCAAGCTAATTGAGTAATCTAAGAATGGTGTTTAACAGCCACAGTTAACGCTGAAGACACAAAGAGCTCTTTCCTAAAGGCACACAGCAGAACTAGAGATGAAGAACAAAACAGGCAAAAGCAGGTAGTCTGCTGAGCATGGTGTTCCAGTATATTAACTGTTCCAGCAGGTTTTAGGGCTCAGTGTTTTAAGGGCCAGACATCCCATGACTGTGGAGAAGCCAAGTGGCACCAGACACAGAAGAGAGAAGCAAATATGGGGCAGACAGACGCTGCAAAGGGAACATGGCAGTTTAGGTGCAGGCTTGGGGATGTGAGAACTTGGGCCCAGGCAAGGTCCTTGGCACATGTTGTGGTTTCTTGGGGGACTCAAACCAGTCCCCTCTGAAGAAGGCAGCAGAAGGACCACCAATGTGTGAGAAAGGTGCTTTCGCTATGAGAGCGACGCTCAGAGATCCCAAAGAGAATAAACTGTCATGGATGCTCACGCTATCCATTGGGAGGATCCACCCAGGTCTCTGGGAATGTGCAATTCACTCAGTGAACTAACTCCATTGCAATCCCATTCCCACTGCTGCAGGCAGCTGCTATTACCCAAACCAGCCAGCCATCCTTCATCCTACTCTTCACAGAGACAATTCAGGGTTTGAGTTACTGTCACCACGTTTCACTTCTTTCCATTCATATTTTTACAGCCATGTATATATTTGACCTGGGCCAGTTCCAGGGAGCCACTGAAGGGAAGGAGTACCCCTTAGACAACTGGGACCTGTTTGCCAGCTTTGATTTCCTTTTATGCCTAGGGGAAGGGGAAAAGGGACACGTCCCTATGTTACTTTTTTGTTGCCACAATGAAACACACAGAGGTGTTGTGTAGACATCACAGATAAACATGGGGTTGTTACACTGAGAAATAAACCAGATAACAGGAATAACAACTACCTCATGCTTTTTGTTGGCTCTTCCTCAGCCTCTCACATGGTTTGCTGGGAGGAATATCTGCCCTTGCCAACATTGCTCCTGTCAGGACACTTGCTGGTGACAAACCTATCTGTCACCACTTCCCTCAGATAGAGATAGTTCAGACTCAAAGTATTCTCTGAAGTTGAAATTGGGTCTCTTCGAGGCACCCACCTATGGCATAACTCTTAAAATCTGCACACAAAAAAGCAGCACCCACTGCAAGTGCACAGGAATGCTTCTGCATCTATAAAGCATTGCCCATCTCATGTGCACCCCCAGCATGCCACGTTCACCACACACAAAATGAGGAGGCACTCTTGTTTTGGAAGCCAAGATTTCCAGGAATCTGCTGTCAGGTTACCAGGAAATATTGGAGGATGTCAGATTGTTGTGAAGTGATTACCCAGAGCATCTGAGCTGCCTGAAAGAGGCTTGACACATCACAAACTGTATTTCAGGTGCAAACAACATGCCAACCAGATCACACAACTGGGAAATCAATGCAGGCTGAGAAAGCACTAGCAGAAGCACAAACACCCTAAATCTAAGTCTGTGTTTGCCCTGGTAATTCACAGTGCCTGTCCTAGTGTCTAGGGACGTTGAGCACACAGATTGTTTTCTCTCACCTGGCTTAGTTATCCCAGGAACGTGAGACACTCTGCCCTGATGAAAACTTCCCATTGGTTTCAGCCTTTCCTCATAACCCTTCTAAACACTCCCCTCAGCCATTCCTGTTTCTCAAAGTTTCACAGAATCATAGAATGGTTTGTATTGGAAGGAACCTTAAAGAACATCTTGTTTCAACCACCCTGTGATGGGTAGGGACACCTTTCACTAGCCCAGGTTGCTCAGAGTTCCATCCAAGCTGGCCTTGAACACTTCCAGAGACAGGGCATCATCAGCTTCTCTGGGAAATCTGTTTCTATGATCTCTCCCATCCCCTTCCCTTTGGAGCAGAGAAAGGTCCCATTACCAGTCTAATTCAGCCCTTGCCACCACTTATTTTTGTGAGCCTTGATACCGCCAGGACCCACCTCAGACGTGCACAGAAATGTCCTTGGATAGGTATGGGTGACACAGTGGTTAACACAGAAGTTTTCACAGCAATGCCTCATACCCCATCAGCTGTGATTCCCAGATTCCCCAGCCCATCACAGTCATGGCCATTTTCTCTTTAGATATCTTCCCCTCCTACCTCAGGCAGATTAAATAGAAGAACCAACACCGGTTCTTCAGTCAGGCTGAATTTGCTGAATATTGAGTTAAATACAACACAATGGATTTAAAAGGCTCCTGAGAATGGCTGCAGTGCTGACAAGCGTGGGTTTGTCAGAATTCCATTTGCAGCTGTTCCATGGTCAGTGAGTAACCCACACTTGCAGCCTCTTGCCTGAGTGTGTCCAACAGGTCCCTCACAAGCACCGTGCTTTGAACATTTTTTGCCAGATGATTTGGCCAGGTCCAGCGTTGTGGAAGATGGCAGTCTATATTTCACCTAGCTCGGGACATCACAAGGAATGCAATTTATTGCATGGAAGCACCGTCACATTTCCCATCCCACGTCAAGTGCATGCTGCCCTTAGCAGCAGCTCACCTCTGGAATGGGGAGAAACAGCGATCTCCTCCTTCCACAGCCCCAGCCCTCGAACAGCCTGACAAGACTCTTTAGAAATAACACCACAGATGTTTTACCAAGCTCCTGTTCACCATCTGCTCCAAGTGACACCACCAGTTTTCCTCAGGAAAGGTCAGAGCCGGCGTCAGTGGGAAGACGAATGCGTTTCTCCCGTGCTTAGCTACAGCTGCGCTGTGCCTGGTTACGGGGTGTGCACACAGTGGCCACAACAGCCCGGCCCCTCCTTATGGAAATCAGCCATCTGCCCCTGGCAGAGCAGAGCCGAGCCAAGGAGCCCTGGGAAACAGTGGGAAATAAAGGCATGAGCCCTTGTTCAGCAGGAGGGGGCACAGGTTCGTGCCACACTCTCCGTGTCAGCCTTGGCTCCTTGAGGATGTGTCATCTGCCGGGCTGGTGCAGGTGTACCTGTCGGGCTGGTCGTGCCCTATGGGGAACAGAGATGCAGTTCTCCAAGTTTGCGTTAACCGCAGCGTGAGTTCCGGGAGACACTGAACACCTTGTGTTAGACATAATCAAGCCAAACAAGATGTAGTCACACCTTCAGACCAAATCACAGGATTTACTCTGACAATCAGTCGCCTTCTCACATGAGGTGCTTTAACGGTATCTGTACAAATAAACCCACTTCATAGCAGGATAATGCACATCAGCATATCCTGTCATTAATCCATCCTGTCATACATTCCAACCTTATCCATAACCATTCACTTCACTGGTTCCTAAGCATTGACAAAAAAGTTCCTCTCAGACGGCAATTTTTTGTATTTGGCTTCTATTTAGAACCATGTTGTTGTTTGGTTTTTTTTAATTTAAAATGGGCTGAAGAAACATTTCTTCCTACATACAGAACTAGTGAGCTCTGAGCATTAGGTTCTGCTCACTGCAGGATGTGCAATATGGTTAAGTCATGATATCACAATTTATAATACTTTTATACAGCTCATACATTCAAAACAAGAGGAACAGTTACTTTTGAGGCACAAACTCCGTAAGACTCAGTGCAAGGGGATTTTGACTAACAGAGATCCCAGGGATGGGGAATGCAGGGAGTATGAGACAAGTAACACCTGCAGGAACCACCATCATCCAATCCTTGCTATCCCATGAGCTGCAAGGAGCTCAACAGATTTCACTTTGCCTTTCACTTACAACTTCCAAGAAAGTTTTCAGGGGTCTTTGCAGTTCATCTGAGAAGTGAACAGGGAATGCCTAAAGGCAGCTCAGGCATCTGGGCATATTTATTGATCTGTCACTGTGAACACACCTCATTTAGAGCTCCTTTCAAAAGCAAGCCAGCACAACACATTTTCTTCTGCTCTTCAAAAGCACTTTGCTTGACAACAAATTCCAAAGTAATTTGTATATCTCAAAGGAGACATACAAGTGGGCTTCAGGAGGAGGAATGACAGTGAGGATGATTGGAAGAAATCTAAGGAATCTCTAAAGATGCCAGCGTGAGGATCCCCACTTACTTAAAAAAAAAGAATATTAAAGCCTTCCAAACTTAGGAAGATAACACCCTTTGTACATAGCTATGTCTTTAGTGGGGACTTTGGGTGAAGGGCACCATAAAGTCCTGTCTCTGTTGTTCTTATAACATTTGCTATGGTACAGTGCCCAGGCTATTTCTCATGGACTGAGACTGCTGTGGAGCTTTTCATGCCAAGAGAAGCAAGTTCTCAAGCCCAAGGATACCTACCCAGATGTTTCAAGGCATTCTTTATTTCTGTGTTTGAGGGGGTTGATGTGTATATCTATATCTATATCTATATATAAATATAAATATAAATATAAATATAAATATAAATATAAATATAAATATAAATATAAATATAAATATAAATATAAATATAAATATAAATATAAATATACCTCCCTCAGTCAGGTTTCCTGAGACCTCGATAGTCTTTAAGGTATTGCAATTGTGTGGCTTTATATTCTCATTTCATATTTCAGTATCTAAGGAGCAGAGAGAACAGATCCATGTCCACAGGGAATTTTTTGGCATCCAACTCCCTTCAAGGTAAAGTGGAGGATGAAGGCTACAAAACCTAATAGTTGGCAGGGAAGATCTGTCTAGATAAACTTCAAGAAATGCCCAGCAGAAAACAATGTCCAATAATGTCATCAATGCTGTTTTAGTCTGTACCCTTTCCCAGCTCTGGAACTGGTTGGGGATTTACTGCCTCACTTTGGGAGATGGACTGCACAGCTCAAATGCAGCAGTAATGGAGCATTAACAGAATTAGTGCACTGAAAGTGCTTTGTAGGCTGGAGTTAGACATTTTCATCCGGGATGATGGGATCACTTTCCTGCAGTAATTAGTGAAGCAGCTGACATTAACTCCATAAGTGACCTGTTTGTTGCCACCACTGTGAATCAAAATTAGATTAGCAGCCCTCCTACAGGTGTGGCTGCAGTATGGAGGTTAAAAGCACACAAAGTGCTCTGCTGATTCAGAGTGAACCAAACTGCATCAAAAGGATTACTGACCATTTAAATCAGCTGCACACAGAGAGGATTTGGGAAAGATCCTATAGCCCCAGGGAAGGGAGGTGAAATGTCAATTCAAGAAACAGTTCTTGTTAAGTATGGAAATATTTATTCCCAATCCATCACAAAATTTACAGTTGTCTCAGGTTGTATATATGTGCTGTGTTCAAAAGCTACAGATGAAAACAAATAAAAAACAGTGGCTTGAATAAATAAAAACACAGAAACCTCCAATGTAGTGAAGGGGTCAGTGTAAAAACACATTTTGGGAGAAGATCAGAAGAACTGGCATCTCTCAAATTATATGTCTTGCAGTATTTGGTTGTTTGAAGTGATGCCCCCTTAAAATTCTAATTTTATTATAAAATATAAAGTTTTAGCCTTCATGGTTGCAGAACAAAGCTTGAAAATGTGATCCAAATATAGCCAAAGGACTTCTTAAAAACCCAGACAAAATAAAAAGAGTTCTAATCTCTTAAAAACAGTCTCATGATTCCTGAGCTACTCTCAAAATGCTGTGAGGGCTTAACAAAATTTATAACACCTCACTTGTTTCAACACTGTTGTCAGGCATAAAATCCAGAGCACGGCAAAAATATAATTTAAAACCTGTGAGAATTAAGAAATCAAGGAACATCTTCTGGAACTGCATCCTTTAACTTTGTTCATTACGCCATCACAACCAAGTCAACAAAAAAAAACACAAAAAAACACAAAAAAAGGGAAAAATGAACCCAGGGAGACAACATACAATTTTAAAGGCAGGTCAGTGCTCGAGGCCAGCTGAGGGCATGGGCACAGGAGCAGGTCAGAAAAGGGAAAGCTCCTGGAGGAGAGACATGGGTGTTGGCACATGGCAGAACCCAGTGCAAGACCTGCAGGACAGAGCCTTCTGTAACTGTGGAAGGAATAAAAGGTGGGAAGCAAGCCGACATGGAATGGAACAGCAAAGGGAAACAGGAGTCCAGCTAGGAGAAAATAAACAGAAAATTGAATAGCAGCAAGGTGAAAAAAAAAAAAAAAAGAAATTAAAAAAAAATAGAAAAAGCATCTCTAACTGAATCAGATGGGGAACTTTCACTTTTCACACGCTCCTGATCATATAATTAGAAGACTATGTATTGACCATAATGGATTTTCCATAAAAGTGTCTCTGCAGAAGCTCTGTTGTTTCCAGCACACATATATCAAAGTGTGTCTCTCTGAGTTCAGATTTCTCAGATGATTTCTGGATAATTAATGACATGCACTGCCACAGAGAGGAAAAGAATTTCCTTCTATTTTCCAGTATAAGGAAGCACTGAGCAACAGGCCAGCTGTGGACAGACTTAAGCCACGTTAAACTGTGCCAGGCATACCAAGCTGTTCAGAATGCACAAATAAACTGACATGGTTATTAGAAATAAAGTTCTTGCACACACGCACAAACCCTTGGACCACAGGATGTAGTAAACAGCTATTTTAAAATATTCATGTGACCCTATCCCACCTTACAAAATCAGATTGCTGCCAAAGGACAGACTGTGACCAAAGCTACCCCTCCTTCCCCAGACCTGACCTATAAATGGCACTGTTTAAAGTAACCACAGGCACTACGGCTCCTAATCTACCTTTAAGATGAAAGAACTTCAGCAAACACCTTCAGTCTGAAAGAAAACATCCTATAAAGGTTTTGCTGCTGACCTGCAGCTGAAGAGCAGCTGAAGCACAGCCAGGATTGCTCATAGCAATAGGTACCATGGCTCACCTGGCAGCAGTGAGGCAGGGAGATGTGTGTACTGGAAGAGAACAGGATTTTTTGTGCTCATTAAGAGTTAACACTGCTGACACCAACAAAAAGGCAAATAGCATTTGCTGTCGTGGCTGTCAGCCACCGTGCAGATCTTGTCACAGATGCAAGTCAATGACAGTATTCTGCCACTGCTTCAGACCAGAAAAGGAGACATCTAGGTCTCATATTTCAGTATGTGTTTCATTGGAAGGGAGGACAAGTGGGACACACTGGGAAGTGCTGACTCAAACACTAGCTATCAGTGTCTTGCAGTGCCCACATTTGCTCGAGTGGAGATTCTGGGGCCCCTTGTAGGTTGCAGGCCAGTTGACAGCACTATCAGTGGTCTAGGAACGCTAACCAAGCTTCTCCTCTCTCTCTCTTTTTTTCAGTTTTTTTAACACATGCAAAACTTTCACCCTTGAGCCTTCAGTCAGTGAGCAGTGGAAGGAAGAGACAGACATAGTTTCTAGGTAACAGTGCTATTGAAATCCACCCCAGTGCTGGGGTTGACCCATTTGGAAGCTGGCCAGAGGAGCAGAAATGAACAGAGGCGAGAAGCTGCTGGTGCATGGGGCTGTCACCTGCTGCTGTCACCCCCTGTACCACTCCTCTCCACTCCTTCCTCTGGGTCCAATGGGTCCAAATCCTGCTGCTGGTTCACCAACAGGCAAGGTCTGGCTTAGGAAGCCTGAGCAGAGGGGTTGTTCAGCAAAGGCCAAATGCTAAGCTTGGTATTAGTTACAGTTATTCTGGCTATGCATTTCTCCCCGGGTTCTGCCTCGTGTTGAGTCTCCCTTGTTCTGCAGGAGGAAGGACACCACCCCCCTCAAAAAAAGGAAGGGAGCAAGTGAAGCCATAGCTCACTGTGCACAG